CTTAAAAGCCCTCACTCTTGCCCTGATGCAATTTTTATGAGAAGAAGAGATACTTGCTTTTCTAGGGTTGATTATCACTCGTCCTGAGCCAAGATGATATGTTTCAGATTTGTCACAGCAAATCATTCTGATCTGCGGTAATGTCATCCATATAAGGGAGGATATTTTTATGCAATGTGAATGCCAGTTTTCCTCTTCAACCCATTCTACCTAGTTAGGATGAAACTGCTATCCCTCCAGATGGAATCTCCTACTATAACTGTTCAATGGTTTAAAGATACCGAAGATGGATCATGCACTAGGAAGGAAGAAGGAAGATCCTGACTGGATGACATTCTTTAGCTTCTCCATTCTTGCAGTGTCTGGTTCCCTTCTGCCTGGATTCCTAGAACATAAGACTTTAGAGTAACCTTTCATGAATTGTTTAGGCCAAATCTCTGAGTAATTTCTCTGACTTCATTATCCTTTCCCCCTTGGCTTGGAATTCAACTTCCTCCTTTCCGCTTTCTCCCTCAACTCAATTCTTGGGCCTTCTGTATTGCCGTTTTTATTCATTCACTTAACACACATTCATGGAGTGCCTTTACTGTCTAGCTCTCTGTTGTTTGCACTGAGGTTGCTGCAATGAACAAGACAGACTAAGTCTGTTTTCTCAAAACCTTCACCGCAGAGATAGGAATACGCTCATTCCCAAAGATTTGACTCCCAGCTGCGTATGGCTTATTACCATTTATCTGAATTGTGTTTATCTCAATGTTCAGGGTTTCTGAGTCTGAAGTTCAAGCCCCACATCACTGCCTCATGGTCATGTCGTGCCAGCATGTCAGACCCAACACTTCTTGGACCAAACTTACCTCTTCCTCCTCACACCAGTTATTTCTCCTGACTTCTCTACTTTGTCAATGCTGTCATCATTTCCCAGGCAACAGTCACAAGACCTCAGAGACACCCCAATTGCTTCGTCTTTCTCAACCCCAATATGTCACCTGATTCTATCCCTCTTCCTTCCAGACAAATGCTTTTTACACCTGTCATTTCCTTTTCTTAATGACTGCCATGTGCCGGGTTCAGATCTTCATTTCATGTCTGGGCCATTGTACCTGCTTCCAGAGGTAACCTCTCCATTAACTTCCTCTTCTGGAGCATCCTAATCATTGCTGCCTGATTAATCTAAGGGTCATGTCAGAAAGTACTCTAGATGTTATGCAAACCAGCATTCATGTCTCTAATGTACTTCTTTCAAAGCCATTTCCTACCACCACACTCCACAAATATTGTATGGTTGAAACTCCTTGATTTGGCACTCCAAACCACCCATGATCTGGCCTCCTGTCTCCTTCTCTGAGGATGGGTCCTCAGGGTCTTTTGGCACCAACAGCACTCCCTTGAATCTTTTTCTCCTCCCCCTGTTCAAGCTTGAGACTACTCCCATCCTTCCCAGAAAAGCAGACTATAGCACAATGTTCAGAACATTGACTTCAGAGACAAATACATTCAGTCCAAAATCTTGTTCTTTCCATTACAAGCTTGGAAATCCTAAGATAGCTACATAACAGCTTTATCTTCCAGTTTTCTTAACAGAATATGGGGAAAACTTGCCTTGTGGGAGAGTTTTAAGGATCCAGTGAAATAGTGCAAAGCATATAGCATATGATCAATCTCACTAGCAAATCTTTCTACCAAGAAGCTGGAATTCCAATTTACTTTCCTAGTAGTGAAACTCTCCCGTGGAGCCAATGTAACTGAAAACACACCTCAAACACCTGCAACCCTAAGCTGCCATGGATGCGGGAACCCTGTAAGCATGGGCTTCCCTGCTCTGTGCCATAGCTCACATTTCTTCTGCTCAAATAAGATGTCTTCAGAGAGGCCTTGCCTAGCACTATCTAAAATCCCCATATACCTCTAGTTAATGTTTATATCCTTATTTTCTTGGTTTTCATCACAACACTTTTCACAGTGTGACATAATCTGACTTCCTTGCCTACTTTCTTGTCTGTCTTCACTCCAGAAAGTGAGGTCCATGCCAGTAGGGTCTTGGTCTTATTTCTGATTCTGTCCCAGAATCATAAACAGTGTCTGATTGAGTTGAACAAATACATGAATGAATGAATCTCTGCCTCTCTGATGTGTTTCCACCCTTCACACCCACCCCAGATCCTTCTTCCCATGAAGTCTTATAAATAATCCAGTCCATAGGAACTTGCCTTCATTGAAAGTTCTATCACAATGCCTTATCCAAATTCAGTTGACTCCCTAGAGCAGTTGTCTACGCCATGTTCTGCTTGTGGCATTTTTTGCATTTCGGATCTGAGTTATCATTTACATCTTGTATTTTATTTACCACAGTTCCTGAATCAGACTATAAACTCCTTATGGTCCAGAAATGCTTTTGTGTATCTCTCTGGAATTCTTTAGCACAGTGCCTTACACATTATGCACTAATAAACAATCATTTATTTATAGACCCTTAATATGTACCTGCCATGATACTAGGTATGCAATGGTGAATACAGCCCTCTCCTTAAATAATCAATTGGGTGCCATTACTCCATTATCTCAGTGAATATTCAGAAGTGGCTCTTGGCTTTCTCAGAGGGCATTAGAAGGCCTAGTCCAGACAAAGACTGCACATATCAGCTGGATAGCCTCAGGTGGGTTGTTTAAACACTAGGAGTCTTTTCGTGATCATGTTAAACATGTGAAACAGAGATGGTGATACTTGTTATAAAATTATGAAGGAGATAATATATGTGAAAATGCCTCATAAACGCTGAATGCTACATAAATATCAATTGTTATTATTGCCATTATAATAATATAATTTAAGTTGAAGTTGGAGCCATCATGAATAAAATGCATTTAGCGATAATGTCCATTTATTCCTAAGATAATAAGAAACCCAATTCTGCCCGTCACATGTGCCAGGTGATGACCTTTGAGTAAGTCTTCACATTGCCAAATTTCGCACAGACTCAACACCCGCCACCGTCACCTCACAGAGAGTGCCTGGGCCACACATACGGCTTTACCTACTGCTGGACATCAGAAAAGCTTGCAGGACCATGAGCAAAGAGCTCTAGACCATCCAAAGTCGCTTTCTCAGTTTCTAAAATAAAACTATTCTTAAAATACTCCAATGTCTCTCCTCAAAGTCTATGTGGGCTGGCCCACTGGGTTTTGGCAGCAGGTGGGCCTGGAGGTACTGCCGTCCTCAGGGCCAGGCATGGCATGAGACTCACATGCCTGGTGTATAGGGCCTGTGCTCCTATTTGGACTCGTGTCTGCCCGTGAGTCACCACCTCTCTTTCCCAGAGCTCAGGCTTCAGCTTCCTGCTTCAAGTCGAGCCCTCGCTCTCAGATTAGCTTTGCAGTGTGTCTGTTCTGATTCAGGCAGTTCTTCCTTCCTGCCCGCTGCCGACCAATCCCGGGGCTTGCTATTTCAGCACACATCACTGGTGTGAAGAGGCAGGTCCATGGGTGATATCATCTGTTTGTAAACAGCCTCCCACTGGAAATCACAAAATCTCAGACATGGAAGGAAGGGCCACTCCCAGGCAGAGCAGGCCTGCCCTCCAGAGCCTCCCTGGAAGGGAGTCATTTGGCCTCAACCTCAAACATCCTGGATGAATCAGTAGAGCATTTTCAACATCACCTTTGAGCAGACACCCTCAGCCGCCAGCTGCCGGGTGGATACCATGACAGAGCTCCCCACTCATTGGGTCACCAAGGGAGCAGCAGCCAAGAGGCTGAGCTGCAATTTTCTGAGAACCTGGGTGTGTCCAGCGGCCCGAGTGTCCCTTCCCTGGGTGGTGGTGATTTCTAAGACAGTAGAGCATGACTCTTTGAGTGCGAGGGCATGGTTTTGGAGTCACACACATTCCGGTTTGAGTCTCTTCTCCCTCACTCACCATCTGGGGGCTATGGACATTCACTACCTCTGTGATTCCAGCTAAATCATTGGAACTGTCTAAACCCATTTCCTCACGTATAAAAAGTGGCGAAGTGAAGGTCTATATTTTTAGATTACCGAGAAGATTAAGCGAGATAATATATGTAAAATGTCTTGCTTTGTGCCTGAAATAAAGTTAGCGCCAAATAAATGGTAACTAGTGTTACTATTATTAACACCATTATTATCTCTTCTTTCTAAACCCAGCAAACATCATGCAGAGGATGTTGGTCTCCTGTTTCCTCCTGCCTTAAATAAGTGGATAACATCTGTGTTCACAGGGATTGGTTTCTGACCTATGCAAGATGACCCCTCCACTGCCACTGCCACAGCCACCATCTCTAGAGAATGAGAGCCCCACGTTTCCTAGCACACATGTTGCACCCCTGAGACTCCCAGAAATCCATGGCTCTTGGTCCTGCTTCAGCTGCACAAGTGAGACCTGGAAAGAGCAGCTTCCAGTTTCCTGGAAGGCTCATCTTAGGAAAAATTTTCTCCCCGGCAAGCAAAGCAGTGGGTCAATGTTCTTTCATGGCAAAAATAAAAAAAATAAAATATGACAGCTGGCTAGATTCCAAAGCCCCCAAGAGTTGCCAAAACAAACTTTTGCCACACCGCTGCCTGGACCTGACGGTCAGGAGGACAAGCACCTCAGTGGTAAGACTTGGGAAGCCCTGGTAAGGACCAAGCAGAGCAATGAAGCCCTGGAATCAGATGTCCTGTCTTCATCCTGTACTGGCTGGGTGATTTTGAGCAAGTTGCTTAACCTCAGTTTCTCTTCTGTAAAATGGGTATAACAGCATTTTACTGGCAAGTCATTATAGGAATCACATGATGGCACACAAAGTCCTTAGAATACTCAAGGACTTTGTCACATAAAGTCCTTAAAATACTCGAAACAGTCGATATGTGATCGCTGCTACTATAATTAACTATCAGAAAGCCACCTTTTGGTTCAGGCATGAATTTTGGTTTTCTGCCTTTCACAAACATTTCAAGCCTTTCAAACTGCGGGGAGAAATGAATGAAGAACAAATAAGAAAAGGTGTTCTCAGGAGGTAGAAGCTTTATTATGACATCTTCAAAGGACAATTGAACAAGTAGACATTTACCGAGCACCTGCTGTATGCAAACCCGTGCAGACAGTAGGGTCCAGTGTCCCACCCACCGCTCTCGAATCCCCAGGGAGAAAAATCACATGAGGGTCAGGTAGTCTTGCGTGGCTGAGAACAGAGCGGGTTTCTGAACATCCAAGGGCGATTCGCTTTACGGGGCGAACTCCGAGGCCCCGCCCCGCGTGGGCCCGCTCAGGGCTGGGCGGTTTCTCCGGCGCAGCGCTGGGCGCTGCGGGCCTCTCAGCAGGAGCAGCAGCCGCAGCCCTGGTTGTCGGAGCGTTGGGACCTCTGGCTGCCGCCCCCGCAGCAGCAGCAGCCGCGACTCCGCTGCCGGCGGCGCCTCCTTGGGAAGCAGCAGCAGCCGGTGGAGCTGGAGCCGCAGCAGCCGCCGTCGGAGCCGCAGCAGCCGCCGCAGCAGGAGGAGGAGGGCGCGGGTGCGGGCGCCGGGGCGGGGCACGGAGCCGGGCCCTGGGACGACCCCTTGGAAAAGCCTTTGGCGGAGGCGGCGCTCTGCTGAGAAGACATCGCGGAGCTCCTCACGACGAACCTGGAAGAAAGACAGCCTTTCAAAGGCGAGCCGGCTTTTGCTTCCACCAGGGCATCTCTGTCTGGTCTTTTGAGATTCGGCTTGGTGTAAAAGTCAGCCTGGCCTGGAGCAGGGAGGCGGGGAGCACCCAGAAAGAGCGTATGCAAAAAAGACAAATCCAAGCAAGTGCTTCCAGGGAGTTAAGCATGCTCAGAGCAGGACACAGTCTATGCAAATAATCGATACTTTTCCATTTTCTCTGACTAGAAGACGACTGCCCAAGTTCTCCACGGTGGAAAATAGACAGCACACTGCCGCAACTTATCTGTGTGATCCAGTCCAAAATCTCCACTTGGCTTTTTTCGTCTCTCTCATTTTACCTTGCTACCGACCTTAGATGATATCTTCCTAGTTGCTAGCATTGTGTAAACACCCCACCAGTTAGAAAACACCCAAGTTCAACACGCATCCCCACCTGCTGGTTCTAAAGAATCCACCTGCCAGAAGCATGTCCTGATCATCCTCTCTTGTCTATGCGTCTCATGCCCCACAAACGCATGGGAAAAGAAGTGTTGTGCTAATAGAAATAAACCCATCCAGGGAGCCAGAAGACCTGGTTCCTAGTCACAGCTCTTCTACAGACTTGCTGTGTACCCTTGCAAAAGCCACCTCCTGTATTGCCTTTATGTCCTTATTAGTGCCTTGAGAGGTTGGATCACTTAAAGCTTAGGTGCCTTGCAGCGCACCCATTCCACATATATCTGCTTGCTGCCTTTGTTCTGTTTTCTCCTCCCCTGTGCCTTCAACTCATCCCATCCTCTCCCCAAGACCCTGCTAGGAGACTTACCAGATCTTGGCTCCACTGGAAGACTCAGTAAGTTCTCCAACTGGAATGAGCCACCTGCTAAGCAATGGAATGAGCTGTGTCCAGCCAGAGAACCTTTTATATAAAAGAGGGTCAGGTTGGGGCCCTTGGGAGGGGCCCATTTCCCAACAGACATGCTCAGCTGACGCTCACATCCCAGAGACATTCATCACTCAGGTAGCACTGTAGGTGGTGCACGTGTGCATCTAAGTCACTTCGCAGAGGTGCCAGGATTGCTGTGGCATGTTGACTTTGCAAACAGGGCACTGTTCATAGCTGGGAGGCTGTGTGTATGCTAACAGAAGACGTGGGGGCTCAAATGAAGGGAAGTCTAGAACTCCTTCTGCTCTTGTCTACAATACACACACACACACACACACACACACACACAGCTCCACTTGCCCACACATCCGTTCCTGTGTGGTCATCTACTTGGTAGGTGGTAGTTCACCTATTTGTTATCTTGATTCTCATCTCTCTGGCTCTTGGTCTTTGGCTCCCCAGGACAGACCACAAGCTATGTGATAAGCCTGCCGGGTTTCATCCATAGGCTTCAAGATACAGTGAGTGAAGATGACAACAGAGATGCATATGTAGGAATCCCAGCGGTGATTTCTCTCTGTCACTGGAGACAGGAAGAAAATCATAGGCAAACTTAAGGAACCATAAAGCTAGAAAAGTTGTGAGTAGTCAGGTTACCATATCCCCATAACGCAGCACGGTATGACTAAGAAAAATGTGTGCAGGACAGTGGCCCAACTGCAAAAAGGCAAGTCAGCCTGTGGGACGTCTGCTTCTTTTCCCACCCCCAACCACCGATCTCCCTTTGAAGACAGGTTCTCCCTAGGGACCCTGCCCACTGCAAAAGAAAAGAAAGAAGATGGGAAAGGAAGAAGGAAAGAGGGAGGGAAAGAAGGAAAATCAGAGAAAGTTCTTTCCAAAGGTCCAAAGTGTGCATGATAAACGGTGTTTTTAGAATAACTAATTTTTAAAAATTGAAGGATACTTTGGCAGTGAACTTCAGAACTGCTTCTTAATCAATGCAATTGCCCACAACTATGAATGTGAACTATACTCAAAAGTCCCAGACTAAGAATTCAGGAATTAAGGGTGAGAGACAGGTTTAGGGGTGAGTGAACAGGGAGCGGCAGGAGGGAATTAGCAAGGAAAGATAAGTCACAAAAGATACCAGTTTCATCTAACATGGATTTAGAGCCTGATTAGCAGGTTCCCGGTACCTAGGGCACCTGTTGGTGAGTATAGGTGAGACATTCCAAAAAGTGAAGTCAATATTAGACCAGAGAAGGAAGTAATGAAATAACAAGACAGAGGCAGGATCTCCTCTGTGGAAATGGGTAAAGTTCTTAAAAAAAAAAAAAAAGAGTGAAGAATGTTTGGTAGGAATCAGTAAGGAGATGATCTGGGCAAGTGGACATGCTGTGAACTCACAAACTAACTTACTTTGTGTATCGTTGTTAACTCTTATCAAAGGAGGCATCAGTTGTTTATCTTGTATATAAAAGGCTAATTTGGAATTAACTTTTCTAGTTATCTTTTCTAGGTACCTTGTGAGTATATCCTGAAGGAACCAGCCCATTCCTAAAGAAATGTTACTTGGAAAACCAACACAGTGACAAAACCCCCATACTGTTACCACCTCTCACTAAACACACACACACACACACACACACACACCAACTACACACACACACACACACACCAACCACACACACACAAGCACACGCACACAAACACATACAAACACACACACAAACACACATACAAACACACACAACACAAACACACACACAAACATCCACACACAAATACACACACACGCCAACCACATAGAGACAGTCTTTGCAGAGGAGGGTGTTTTTCTGAGTTCTTTACTCAGACTCAAATCCAGGATTTCAGCATGCAGGGAAAACGCGCTCAGACATTTCATACCTGCCTCCTAAACTCACCCCCGAAAGTATCTTGCCCACCCAGCTCTCCCTCTAGCCAACGGACAGAAACACCTGGACTTAAAATAATCAGAAAAGTAAGGAGTGTCCATGTATTGGAGCTCAGGATGAGCACTTCAAGGCAATCTTATTCCCCATGAATAGGGGATAAGCAATTTTTCAAACCGTGACCTGTGCTTGAAGGAGACCCTCTCAGAATGTGACCCTTCTGAGCACAACCGTTCTCCTCTCTTCAGACTCATTCCTGGCTATCCTCATACAATCTTGTGTCTGGCGTAATGGTCTCAGACTTGACTCTTTCCTTCAAGCTTAAAGTTCCAGAATCCAGAGCACAGAAAGGAGTATTTTTTTCCGGAGGCCTAAATAACTTTACCACCAAAATGTGCTTCTTTAAACAAGTGTGTAGAATGTTCACTTGCACCCAACAGAAGGGAAGGGAAGACGGCTTGGTGCAGCAGGTGGGGGTGGGAGAGGCAAAACGATGTAATCAGGAGGCAGTGATACCAGGAATCAAAAGCTTTATTGTTACAGAGAAAATAGCTTTGGAACTGAATTTCAACACCTAGTTTGCCAAAGAACTATATCTGAGAGGGAAAACCAGGCCAGAGAATAGCACAGGCTAGGCCTCAACCCCACAGTGGAGTGAACATGGGCAGGATAAAGGAGGGAACTCAAAGCATTTCAGAAGGACTTCTGTGGGAAATGAGAGAAAAGAAGCCTCGGGCTGACGCAGATCTTCGGCACCTGGGCTCTGCCAGTGCTGTCCCTCCGTGCTCCTCATGGCCCAGGTCAGCAGCAGCCCCCAGAGCTGTGGCAGCAGCCGGAGCCTCCAGAGCTGTGGCAGCAGCCGGAACCCCCAGACTGCTGGCCACTGCCACTGCCACAGCAGCTGGAGCTCTGAGGTCTGCGTCGGAGGGACCGGCGGGGCCTGTGGTGGCTCAGGCAGCAGCCACCGCCCCCAGAGCTACAGCAGCCCCCAGAGCTATGGCAGCAGCCACTGCCCCCAGAGCTGCAGCAGCCCCCAGAGCTGGAGCCGCAACAAGAAGAGACTGGAGGTGGGCACGGGGCTGGGCACTGGGGAGGGCATTTTGGGGGACACTTGGGCGGACACTTAGGAGTACACTTGGGTGGGCATTTCGGGGTACATTTGGGAGGAGGCTGGCACTGCTGCTGGCTCTGCTGGCAGGACATCTCTGCAGGAGCTGAATAAAGCTGAAAAACAATACAAGCCCAAGATCACTTCCTCGACCTTAAAATTGAACTATAATTTCAAAAGACTTTATCTCTCAGATGACCAGATTTTTATTTTTATTTATTTATTTTTCTTTTTTTGAGACTCACTCTGTCAACAGGCTGGAGTGCAGCAGTGCGATCTCAGCTCACTGCAACCTCTGCCTCCTGGATTCAAGCGATTCTCCTGCCTCAGCCTCCTGAGTAGCTGGGATTATTCCCAGCTACACAACACCATGCCCAGCTAATTTTGTCCTTTTAGTTTAGACAGGGTTTCACCACGTTGGTCAGGCTGGTCTCGAACTCCTGACCTCGTGATCCACCTGCTTCGGCCTCCCAAAGTGCTGGGATTACAGGTACAGGCATGAACCACTGCACCTGGCCTAAGATGACCAGATTTTTAAAACCCAGTCTCCCAAGACCAGTAACAAGAACTATGCAAATGATTTCCACCAAGTAACTCCATCCTTTCAAATGAATTCCTTGGAACTTCAGAAAGACACCAGGCCCTCATTCCCTTCACCTATCTTCCACCGTCCCCTTCCAGAAGATCCCTCCCTTCCCAAATCCTCTTTTCCCCTTGTCTTTCTTCCAGAATGGCCTCAGCCTCCACACAGGGGCTCTTTCTGCCCAAAACACCAGCACCAAGAGCTCATCCTGGTTCTGAGAAGTACTCTACCTGGTTCAGGCGCTGCAGCAGATCACTCAGGAGACAGGTAGACTGAGGTGCTGTCAGAAGCATCTGCCTTTTATACTCAGTTTCTGATGGACGTAGCATCAGGAGGTGCTGACCATGTGTGGGATGCTAGAAGCATCTTTCATAAAGGCATGGGTGACTCCCTCCCCTCACATCCCAGGGACCCAGTTCCTCCCTCCATAAGCATCTCAAGTATTAACCCACAGGAAGATCCTCTGAGAACTGCAGGCCTCTAGCATGGTGAGGGAGCTCTGCGGATTGTACATGGCACCTGTCTACCTCGCAGGCAGCTCTGCTATGCTTTCTATTTTCTGAGCTGGGCCAGTACGACTCTACATCTCTGGGATGAACATAAGGTCTGTTTTCTCTTTGATATAGAAACTGAAGAAGCAAATTCCCAAGAAGGAAATTAAATGGCCCTTTTTAGAATAAGAATAGAGATCCAAAATAAAATTGTAGGCCCAAGCAAATGATCTAACAAGATTTTTTTTTTCATTCCTAGATGATGCCATAACCAGAACGAAGAATGTGATGTTATTTTAGGCAGATCTGATGCAGAGAGTGTGGGTAGTTGGGCTTCTCTCCTTGCCTGAATTTGATGCACCGGAAGAGCTCACAAGCAGTACTAATTCAGCACTAACACTGCCTTTAAAAGGGCAGAAGTCTAGGAATGGCTTATTTACTCGTGTTAAAGAAGATGCCCTTGGCCAGCTCGAGGTGAGGTGGCAGAGACAGGTGTATACTGAGGGTGGAGCAAAAGCTCTCGACTCATCTGGAGGTTTCCAGGAGTGGGGCACCAGTTCTGGTCATCCCTATGAGAAGAGCATCTAACCTGGGAAGGACCTCAGGAGAAGACTCATCTTTGGATGGGAGAGGCAAAGAGGAGGGGCATATAGGTTTTAAAGGCCCATGGTGGGATCCAAAGCTTATTTTCTCAGCAAAAAATGTTCTGAGGGAAAGTTGGGCCCCCAGGATAGTTACCAATATTTATTCAGCTGGAAAGGGTGGCCCAAATATGGCATATTCACAATGAAAACTGCAGTGAGAGAAAATAAGACTGGGAGAAAAAGGCAGTACCTTAGCTCCATGCTTGTTGAAATGGGCTGCAGTGAGAAATGTCAGCCCAATTGTAACACAGACCCTGGGGAGAGAGATCAGTTCCCACCCTTGC